TAAGCTATCGATACATTGTAACAGATAGCAAAAGTAAAAAAAAAAATGAAGCCTTTAAAGTTCACCTACAGTATATTAGACTGCTATGCTAAAAATACTACTAGAAAGGTTAAAGAACGTATCGGACAGATTCAGTGAACCCATCAATACAACGGTTGCTTTGAAATTCGATTATGCCATTCCAATGATAAGTGTCCCTGGGAATCATTTTGAGAAATCTACAACATAAGGATATAGATGTTCTAGAAAACCACGGCTGACATTATTGATAACATGGCAACTAATCAATAGCGAGTACAGAGTCACAGAGTAACTATCTACCGTCCCAGAGGAATAAACCACTGGAGATGGGGATGAGCACCTGTCAGGATGTGTTAATTCTGAATAATGAAGATGCTGATTATTCATTGAAGACGATCTGGGACAGCGTGGCCTAACCCCTGACATTTCTTCCTGGCTGTCCACCTCCAGCAGATAATTTTCTGATCATGAAGTATTGACAGCTTAAATGCCACGAGCGTGTCAGCAGTTAGACAGAGCCGTGAAAAAGGGAGAGGAAGGTGATTGGAGAATGAGGAGGCGAGAAGGGCAAACGAGGGGACATGAGTTCTCGGAGAGTTTTCTCTTCAAAACTAAAGGTGGGAATACACGATTAGAAAATCGACCGATCAGTCATCCGAAGACTGAGAGGCGTTCATTCGTTGGTCGAAATCGTGGCCCACATTAACCAATCTAAAAAAATTGTTCGGCAGGCAATACGTAGTGTTGACGTCTTCCGTACAAGTGGAAGTGATGCGGTGTGCGTGTGACCTTGTAGCCACGCCCTTCCGGCCAGAACGATCGATATACACAATTACCAGCAATGAGTATAATATTGTTTATTACATGACCTATATACATAAATAGTGATACATAAAATATAATACACAGAATTCTGGTTTCATGATCTCATTAGGCCAATCTAATTTTAACATTTGGATTTTCCGTTCGTGTTTACAAAGATTTCTTGGACATAAACATCCGAGTCATCTGTTTCCGCTCATGCGTGATAGCGCTTGATAGATTTTTTTCGTACGATCGTCATACCAACAATGCATAGAAGATTGGTCGTTCGTATGCAAAACGACATTTTTCACTGTTGTTCAACCAGATTTTTTCGTTCACAATATCGTTATCGATTAAAACATTCTGCTCATCAACAAAGAGAAAATCGTTCGATCAGTGGTTCCGCAAAAATTTTCGGACTATTTTCTTATCATGTGTACGGAGCATAACTGTAAGGCCATGGAGGGTTGTGTTTGGAATTCAGTGTCGGGCTGAACAGAGATGAATCAGAATTTGCCTTGTCAGTCCTCACGCACACGGGACGTTTTGATAACGCTGGTAACATTAGCTGTGTAAAGTCAAGTTAAAAACGTGAGTTTTTCAGCTTTTTTTAACGTTTTTGCATTAGCGTTTAGCGGCGTTTTGCCACAATTAGCGTCATTTCCCCACATTTCTCTGCGTTAACTTTTTTTTAACCATACAAAATTTGGTCAACAAAAGTCCAAAAACACCGGTTTGCGGCGTTTTACAACATTAGAGCGTTTTTACAGCTAAAAAACTCTAGAAACCCACTATTTTTGTTTTTTTTTTCCATCCAAAAAACGTCCCAGCCAAAAAACGTTGATTACAGCCTATGCAGGAGTGGACTGACAACTCATGGGGCCCCCGGGCAATAAGGGATCATGGGGCCCCTGTATCCTTGCCCAAACCCAAAAAAGCCTATGAAAAAGGTACCAGGGGTATCTCATGGGGCCCCCTACTGACCCCAGGCCCTCGGGCAGTGCCCGAGTTTCCAAATGGTCAGTCCAACCCTGAGCCTATGTGTATGAACACATAGGATAACATGCTGGGGAGTTAAATGACTGTAGAAAGAAACGTCAAACGCCAAAAACAGCAGCTGTAAAAAAAATGTCAAGTGCGCATGACGGCTCACAGTTCCCGCATAGCCCTCATTTACCTGCGTATCCACATATCCGCGTTTCTTGTGGTCCGCATTGCGCGGGCATTTGAATGGACTCCTGTGCCCCGGGACACGCATGGAAGAAGTCCCTGCACTTCTTCGGAAAACGCAGCCCGCACAAGAACCTCAGAACCTCAGTTCCCAGTGCGGTTGTGATTTCCAGTGTGGGCGGCGTGCCATTAGAATTAATGGCACCCACCCATGGGTCTGCATTCTTCTGTGCGGGTGGTACGGCTTCACGGATTTTTGTGCGGATCCGCAGCAGCACCACCCGCACATATGTGAACCTAGCCTTAAAGGGACTGTCCCTCTTTCAAAAGGAAATCCTTCCATCCCTTTTCCCCCCTCAAATGTCCCTGTTTTAGCTCTGGTGTAGGGTAGGGTATCCAGATGTCCCTGCTTTCAGGAGGCTGTCCCCACTTTTAAAGTGTCCTCAGATGTCTCCTAGATTGTAAGCTCTAACGAGGCGGGCCCTCTGTTTCCTCTTGTACCAAATTGTATTTTAACTGTCATTTCTACCTGCAAACTGTTGGCGCTATATAAATCCCGTATTATAATAATAATGTAGCCTGTGCCCCTGATCCCCTAGCTGGTGGCCCCCTTAGGGTTAAGGATCCGTTCAGCCCGGGTACAATTGCTAAGACCTTCCTCCCCTCTCCACTGCTTGATCGTACAGTGCGTTTTTTTGTGTTTGTTTTTTTTTTTGGTGCATCAGTCCTGGAGGTACTGCAATACCAGATTGATGCATGGAGTGGACAGGGCAAGCTCTTCTTCCATCTCCCTGTTCTAAAAATCCATTTGCCATATGGTTCCCAGATAGGGGACGTAGCAGATCAGGGGTGTCAAACTGGCAGCCCTCCAGCTGTTGCGAAACTACAAGTCCCATCATGCCTCTGCCTTTGGAAGTCATGCTTGTGGCCATGGAGGTGATTGGAACACCTGAATCCAATGATTTGGAGGGCGGGCCCAATATTTTTTGGCAACTTATGCAGGCTATAGACGGGTCAAAAACCAGCCGTTTAAAAAAAAAAAAAAAATCGGTCGTTCAATAGGCCGACGTTACCACCAATGGTTAAAAAAAAAAACGGCCGATTTTCATCCTGTCTCTTAATTACTCCTGTCCCTGCAGAGAGCTCTGCTATTATATTTGACATTAAAAAGTCTTGTGGTTGCAACAATGTATCTATTTGTATCCATTTGTATCTATTTGTATCCATTTGTATCTATTTGTATCCATTTCAGATACAGATGGTTTTATTCAGATACAAATAGATACATTGTTGCAACCGCAATACTTTTTAATGTCAAATATGATAGGGGAATGGAATTCTTCTTCTTCGTCTTCTCCTCCTTTTTCTTTTTCCAGGTCACGGCTCATGCGCAGATTTTTTATTGGTAAAAAGATTGGCCGATTTGCCCATCATTGCCACGAAAATTGGGCCAATCGGCAAAATTGGTCGATTTCTTTCCAACTTTACCGATAAACAAAATGTGCCAAAATCCAAAAAAACGGCCGACCAATTAATCCATTAACGGTGAGAAAATCGGACGATTTTTTTTTTACTCATCTATGGCCTGCATAAGACCAGCCATACATGGGTTGATTTTTGAACGATTTTTCATTCAAAAATCAGACCTAAGAATAATCAGTCGATTTTCGCTCTCTTAATGGGGCAATGATACCGGCAGATTTTCGTGGTTCCTCCCCATTTTGTTTACCGGGCATGTTGGAAAATTCGTGACCATTTTCGAGATCATTGGTGGCACCATCGGATTACAGAACGAACGATGTTTTCGACCCATGTATGAACTGTTTAAGTAATGTCAACAATTTGGGGAAATATTTTGATACAACGATGGTGTTATCGCATGCACGGTTGACACATCTTTATAAATCTGACTATTTGTTGAACGATTTTCTAACCGTGTATGGCCAGCATAGCTGACACTGCCACTAAGTGTCACTAAGTCTAGGTTCACACCTATGCGTTTTCCGAACAGCAGTCCATTTAACATGATTTCCTATGGGACAGGTTCACATCTCAGCGTTTTTTTTGTGTTTTTTGGAAAGGGTCGGGGACTTTTTTAAATGCAAAATGTTACTTTTTGATTCAATAGACTTCAATGGAGACCGGATATAGTGAATGCAGGGTCCGGGGAGAGCGGATATAGTGAATGCAGGGTCCGGGGAGAGCGGCTATAGTGAATGCAGGGTCCGGGGAGAGCGGATATAGTGAATGCAGGGTCCGGGGAGACCGGATATAGTGAATGCAAGGTCCGGGGAGACCGGATATAGTGAATGCAGAGTCCGGGGAGAGCGGCTATAGTGAATGCAGGGTCCGGGGAGAGCGGATATAGTGAATGCAGGGTCCGGGGAGAGCGGATATAGTGAATGCAGGGTTCGGGGAGACCGGATATAGTGAATGCAGGGTCCGGGGAGAGCGGATATAGTGAATGAAGGGTCCAGAGAGACCAGATATAGTGAATGGAGGGTCCGGGGAGAGCGGATATAGTGAATGCAGGGTCCGGGTAGACTGGATATAGTGAATGCAGGGTCTGGGTAGACTGGATATAGTGAATACAGGGTCCTGGGAGACCGGATATAGTGAATGCAGGGACCGGGAGACCTAATATAGTGAATGCAGGGTCGGGGGAGACCAGATAAAGTGAATGCAGGATCCTGGGAGAACAGATATAGTGAATGCAGGGTCCGGGGAGACTGGATATAGTGAATACAGGGTCCTGGGAGACCGGATACAGTGAATGCAGGGTCTGGGGAGACCAGATATAGTGAATGCAGGGTCCGGGGAGACCAGATATAGTGAATGCAGGGTCTGGGGAGACCAGATATAGTGAATGCAGAGTTCAGGGAGACCGGATATAGTGAATGCAGGGTCCCGGAGACCAGATATAGTGAATGCAAGGTCTGGGGAGACTGGATATAGTGAATACAGGGTCCGGGGAGAGCAGATATAGTGAATGCAGTATCTGGTTTGACCAGATATAGTGAATGCAGGGTCCGGGGAGACCGGATATAGTGAATGCAGGGTTCGGGGAGACCAGATATAGTGAATGCAGGGTCCGGGGAGAGCGGATATAGTGAATGCAGGGTCCGGGGAGATCGGATATAGTGAAATGCAGGGTCCGGGGAGACCGGATATAGTGAATGCAGGGTCCGGGGAGACCGGATATAGTGAATGCAGGGTCCGGGGAGACCTGATATAGTGAATGCAGGGTCCAGGAGACCAGATATAGTGAATGCAGGGTCCTGAGAGAGCAGATATAGTGAATGCAGAGTCTGGGGAGACCAGATATAGTGAATGCAGGGTCCGGGGAGACCAGATATAGTGGATGCAGGGTCCGGGGAGACCAGATATAGTGCATGCAGGGTCCGGGGAGACCAGATATAGTGAATGCAGGGTCCGGGGAGACCGGATATAGTGCATGCAGGGTCCGGGGAGACCAGATATAGTGCATGCAGGGTCCGGGGAGAGCAGATATAGTGAACACAGGGTCCGGGGAGGAGGTGAGCAGCAATGACTAGGCCTCACTTAGCAACACAGGGAGTTCTGTCAATGGCCTACACCTATAGCAATGGCATTATTCCGCTTCAGTCAGAGCTGCACAGCTTGTTTTGTTATCTACAGACCCCCCTTATCTGCAGTGTTTTTGTAACTCTTTAGTTAGGGGAACTAACTCTTTAACAACACCCCAAATGCAGTGCGTTTTGGTGTGCTGCATTTTTAAAAGTAGCAAATACACTACCTTTCCTGTGTTCTGGGGTGACTTTGTATCCCCTTTAAATGAATGGGCTAAAAAATCGCACCGCACTGGAAACGGCGGCACGCATTCCTGTGCAATCTGACATCAGAAGAGGTGCCTATGACTGGATATGCAGTGCAGTGGGTGACAACAAGGGGTTAAGTGTCTGTGTAGAGACAGAGAAGGAGGTGGCCCCGGGCCCCAAGTGCAGGCCCTGTACACACCTTGTTGTGTGTTGTGTGTTGCTTAGTGACCGGCCTGTGATACGGGACGCTCTGTGTGGGATTATGTCTGACCTGCTGCTGACAGAGACCCAGAGAACAGCGGGGCCCTCATAAACCAGTGTAGGCCCTAGAAGGGCCCCCGGCCATCATCATCTGCCATGTCTCTGAGGTAAGTGAATGAGGTGAGGAGGGCCACAATGGGGTGACTGATAGTTGCCAAGTTTTATACAATGATTTTTAGGAACATTATAGGCCCCATACACTGCGCTATAACCGTTACATGTTATTCATGTCAATCAGGGAGCAGCAGCAACACAGACAGACCCGCTGTCTCCAATCTGACGGCTGTATGGGTGCAGGTGCGGGTCCCCAAACTCACACTGTAAGTTCATATACAGTACATGTACCCACACATGTCAGATTAGGAGAGTGGTTGTGTCCATGCAGCAGCTGCATCACGAATGACACCAATGGGACTGCCTGCATGAGGATGACGGAACACCTGTGTACCCCGTGTGTGCAAATATGGCCTGACACCGGGGTGCACACTGATATTCCCCTGTGTGAACAAGGCCTTGCACAACAATTTGGGAAAGATTTTCAGGCCCAGTCACACTTGTATGTTGTGGCAACACTCCTTCCCCAAACACATGGCAACATATCCGTTCCATGTGCAGTGCTGTGTGGTCTCTTCATTGTACATGACACCTCAACATAGAGTACAGTACAACCCAACATATCTCACCGCAACACAACCCACATCATCGCAACCCGCATTACTGCAACCTGCAACCCGTATCACCGCAACCCGTATCACCGCAACCCGCATCACCGCAACCCGTATCACCGCAACCCACATCACTGCAACCCGTATCGCCGCAACCCGCATCACGGCATTCTGTATCACCACAACCCGCATCACAACCCACATCACTGCATCACAACCCATATCACGGCAACCCGCATCACCGCAACATGCATCACCCACATCGCCACAACCCGTATCACCGCAATCTGTATCATTGCAACCCACATCACCGCAACACGCATCACCCACATCGCCACAACCCGTATCACCGCAATCTGTATCACCACAACCTGCATCACCGCAACCCGCATCACCACAACCCACATCACCACAATTTGTATCACCGCAACCAGCATCACCACAACCCATATCACTGCAACCAGCATCAACACAACCCGTATCATCGCAACCCGCATCACCGTAACCCGCATCACCACAACCCGCATCACCGCAATCTGTATCACCGCAACCCGTATCACTGCAACCCTCATCACTGCAACCCTCATCACCGCAACCCTCATCACCGCAACCCGTATCACCCACATCACCACAACCCACATCACCGCAATCTGTATCACCGCAACCCGCATAACGCACATCACCGCAATCTGTATCACCGCAATCTGTATCACCGCAACCCGCATCACCACAACTCGCATCACAGCAATCTGTATCACCGCAACCCGCATCACCACAACTCGCATCACAGCAATCTGTATCACCGCAACCAGCATCATCACAACCCGTATCACCGCAACCCTCATCACCGCAACCCACATCAACGCAACCCGCATCACCCGCATCACCCACATCACCACAACCCACATCACCGCAATCTGTATCACCGCAACCAGCATCACCACAAATCGCATCACCGCAGTCTGTATCACCACAACCTGCATTACCACAACTCGCATCGCCACAACCTGCATCACCACAATCTACATCACTGCAACCCGCATCACCACAACCCGTAGCACTGCAATCTGTATCACCACAACACGCATCACCACAATCTACATCACCACAACACGCATCACAATAACCCGTAACATTGCAATCTGTATCACCACAACCCGCATCACAACAGCCCATATCACCACAACCTGCATCACCGCAAACCGGAACCCGCATCACCACAACCCGCATCATTGCAACCTGTATCACCGCAACTGTAGTCCAATCATCACTTCTTTCAGACCCAAAACAGCAACGCTATACCAAGCCTGGGGGAATGTATACTGCACCCCCACATACTGATCGATCTATCTATCTATCCATCCATCCCGTTTTCATCTCCACCCACATAACACCCCAATCAGTAGAAGCTGCTAATATAGGGGGCTCATTCTGTATATAGAGGTGAATAGTACAGACGATGGGAGGGAGGGAAGCAGTATTACACTGACACAGAAATGGTGCAGCGTTGCAGTGGTGTCGGTGTCAGTGGGTCAGGTCACACATGTAGAGCAGGCTGACCCTCGGACAACCCCTGTAATCCTCTGTCCTGCATTAGGCTCTTGTAGCGGATTACCGGGGAATTATTTTTGTCTAGAAATAAGTTAATGAGAGGAGCAGAGGAATGAAAGGCCGCACAGAACAGGATTACTCATTGTTCTGAAAACATGACGGGAACCCAAGCCCACCCAACAATCCGGAACTACCTTTCCCTCCACCAGAGTTGAACTTTTAATCAATAGGGATTGCAAGCTTTGCAGGAGAGGAGAGCTGACAATAGTCAGCATTTTTTATGTAAACCCCAAAGTGGGATTCATGCCCCCCGGCTGCACTAACACATATCACCACCATGTGTGAGAGTATACAAAATACACATTGTACTGTCATTCATCTGATATTCTCTCCAGAAGGACGATGCCATCTTTAGGCATCATCCATGGTCACTATCTACATCTTTAGGCATCATCCATGGTCACTATGTACATCTGCAGGCATCATCCATGGTCACTATGTACATCTGCAGGCATCATCCATGGTCACTATGTACATCTTTAGGCATCTTCCATGGTCACTATGTACATCTGCAGGCATCATCCATGGTCACTATGTACATCTGCAGGCATCATCCATGGTCACTATCTACATCTTTAGGCATCATCCATGGTCACTATGTACATCTGCAGGCATCATCCATGGTCACTATGTACATCTTTAAGCATCATCCATGGTCACTATGTACATCTGCAGGCATCATCCATGGTCACTATGTACATCTGCAGGCATCATCCATGGTCACTATCTACATCTGCAGGCATCATCCATGGTCACTATCTACATCTGCAGGCATCATCCATGGTCACTATCTACATCTGCAGGCATCATCCATTGTCATTATGTAAATCTGCAGGCATCATCCATGGTCACCATGTACATCTGCAGGCATCATCCATGGTCACTATCTACATCTGCAGGCATCATCCATGGTCACCATGTACATCTGCAGGCATCATCCATGGTCACCATGTACATCTGCAGGCATCATTCATGGTCACTATGTACATCTGCAGGCATCATCCATGGTCACTATCTACATCTGCAGGCATCATCCATGGTCACTATCTACATCTGCAGGCATCATCCATTGTCATTATGTAAATTTGCAGGCATCATCCATGGTCACTATGTACATCTGCAGGCATCATCCATGGTCACTATATACATCTGCAGGCATCATCCATGGTCATTATGTAAATTTGCAGGCATCATCCATGGTCACTATATACAGTACATCTGCAGGCATCATCCATGGTCATTATGGTCATCATTCCACTGACACCAAAAATGGGGTACCATTCCTCCACTGATACCAATTGGGCAATATTCCTTTCACAGATACAAATGATGAGTCATCATTCCTCCCACTGGCACCTATAACGGGACACTATTCCATCCACTGACACCAATGATAGGGCACTATTCCATCCACTGACACCAATGATATGGCACTATTTCTCTCACTGACACCAATAATGGGGTACTATTCCTCCTACTGACACCAATGATGGGGCACCATTCCTCCCACTGACACCAATGATGGGGCACTATTCCACCCACTGATACCAATGATGGGGCACTATTCCTCCCACTGATACCAATGATGGGGCACTATTCCTCCCACTGATACCAATGATGGGGCACTATTCCTCCCACTGACACCAATGATGGGGCACTATTCCTCCCACTGACACCAATGATGGAGCACTATTCCATCCACTGACACCAATGATGGGGCTTTTTTACCAACACCAGGACATTTTCTGCTTCTACTGGCCACAGTCCGGCCCCTCTAATGTTTGAAATATAATAAACTGGCCCCTTATTTGGAAAGTTTGGAGCCCCCTGCAGCCAAGGAAGGAAGACATCTGTCCAAGGATCTGTAGATATTATAGCCCAAGAAGGGGCAAAAGCGCACTTCGACCTTGATTTATATTGGGGGTGAATATTATAAGGTGAGCATTCACATGAGGTGGACACATGCAGAGCACAAGCGGCCTTTGATGTATTGGAAGATATGTGAATTTATCACGGCACACTGGTGGTCGGACGCACACTTCTGAATAGACTTTTTATTTGGGACTTTTTTGTATAAATGATTGTATATTGTTGCTCTACATCACTGTTTACGATTATAGTTCTTGGCAGTGTTCACAAATGTCTGACACAGACCAGCCCCTACTGCAG